AATTTAAGGAAGGATTTAGGTTATTTTTTTAAAGCAAATTCAGAGTAGTACAAAATTCATGACATTTCAAGATATATTGGATACTTCAAAGAACTTTTGAGTATGTAGCAGCCATTAGGGAGTCTGGACCCACTGCTGAAGGAGAGTTGGGGTAGGTGAGGGAGTTTCTGCTTAAGAGTTTGAGAAAACATTTTAAGTCTTATCTTAAGATGGTCATTAACATTGTACTCTAAACATGATAGTTTGTAATGAATCTCTTTGTATTAAAAAAGAAAAAAAAATTACTTTTTTTTTTTTTTTTTGTCCTTTGCAAACCTGGAAACAATATCCTGTACCTGAGGTATAAGTTAGAGGTGCTAGTAATCCCTTCACAGCTCTGAAAATGGTATTTTCCACAATGATTTTTTTTTATATGTTTCCTGTTTAAGACTTAAAAGCTGTCACAAGCTTATGTCTTAACATCAGTAATTGCTGATTGAGACCAATAACTAATGGAATTCATACTGCTTTTAAAGAAATGTGCAAACTTGTTGCCACACCTTTGACATGTTTTTGAAACATAACATTGAAACTGTACTCATTCCATACTAAGAACCTGCATGGCATCAAGAGGACCCCCAAGGGTCTTCAGGAGAGAGAGCCACCACTGCGGGGCAACATGCGGGTAAACTGACAGGAACATAAAGGGTCTTATGGTTTTTTTCAGTGTGCACAGTATAGGGCAGACGTAAATTGGGACATCAGTAAACAAATTACTGTAGAGTGCCCATGCACCCTTTAACTATCACACTATTGCTAAGAAATTTCCTGGGAGTGGCTTAGTAATGCTGAAGTTGTATAGTAAATGTTTGGTTCCTGTTATATGCAAAACATGGTACTTGGTGTTCAATTTTTAGGGAGCATTACAAGTTACAAGCCAATGTCTCTGTTCAAATTGTCTTGGTGAAAGAAAAATGTGTACAAAGTGCTTGTAATTAGAACTGACTCAGAGTGAGTGGTAATGCTGGGATACTGTTTATAAAGAAACTAATACCATTTGTATCTCTTGATGCCTAAGTCACTAAGTATTCAAATTTGATTATACAGTTTCAAGTATTGAAAATGATACTTGAGTAAAATACTAACTTTATCAATTACATTTTCAACTTCATGTCTCTTAAGTTTCTTAGAATCTATCTTTAGAATCTGCAGGATGGAAGTGGAAAGACAAACACTGATATTTTCAATATTTAGCCTCTTGTTGGCTGTTGACTTAAAATTGAAACATGTTTACTTAGTCATTTGTGACTTTCAGTTGATTCAGTAGCCTGTTTTTTAAAAAATCCTGTTTTTAAGTTGTTTTTAAATCTTTAAGGTGTGTGTGTGTGTGTGTGTGTGTGTGTGTGTGTGTGTGTGTAGCAAATTTGAAGTATTCGTTGTTTGGACATGTCTTGTAAAACAAATTTCAGGAAACTGTAGTGATATCAAAGTTTTCTTATATAAAATTTATATAAAATTATGTGTGTATGTGTGTGTATACATATATATACATATATTTGTGTGTGTGTAAAGTTTTGAAGGAAACATCGAAGTCTACCTGTCAGCTTACTTCATGTGCTGTAGCACAAGACTCCAAGTCTGACAAGGTGCAAGGTTAGTGAGGTTCCAGGAGGGGCATCCTTCCCAGTTTGTAGACTTGCTAATTTCTAGTTTATCCTCACATGGCCAATAGGAGGAGAAAGAGCTAATTTTCTCACTCTTAGTGTTCTTCCTAATCCTATCATGGGGTCTCCATAATTGGACATAATTACTTCCCAAAGGACCTACTCCTCTAATGAGTTAGGGCCGTGTATGAGAAGGTTATTACACAAAGATGCATGTATTAACTGCTGAAAGTCCCTAGGTGTAAGGCTACAGCTCAGCAGTAGAGCTCTTGTCTGCCATGAACAAGTCTCTGCGTTCCATCACACAAAGTTGAAGATTAACAGAAAATTGGGTTTTCCATTTAAGAATCATTTTAAGAATAGAAAGGGGTTTTCTAAGGTACACAGGCAACTGGGACTCAATACAGAGGATTTGTGTGTCATACTGGAGGCCAGGTTTACAAAGCTGAACTTTACAAAGCATGGAGTTCAGCCATCCCATGAGCTTCCCCTTGCTGGTTGTTTTCTTTCCTCTGTCTCAGTTTCTCCTTAGGAAGCAGGAGTGTGGTTTTAGGAAGTATTGTGTCCACAGTATGGCAGACATGGTTTTAAGGCCTTCACCAAGGTACCAAATCTTTAGAGTGGCTCTGACCTCTAAAGTATTTACCAAGTAATGGCAAATGGATAGTAAGAGCTAACTGAATGGCTGCTGTGAGCATTCTTTGGTAATTCATTTCATCATGACACTCTTAGAGTGCTAGGTTGTCTTTCCTAGGTTTCCTACCAGATTTCTGGAAGGAGTAACGTGATCCTTGTTCTGTTCTAAACATACCAATTATGCTGTTGCCAATAGCAATATTTCACAATGATGTCCCAAGTGTTCTTGGTCTTTTTTTTTTTCACCCGTAAGATACTGCTCTCTGATATATAAAGTTCCCAGAGATGTGAATCTTTCACTCTCTAATAAAACAGCATCTGGTTAAAAAACAGGGATGGCCATTGGAAAACAATGACAGACATATTAGGTAAAAACCGTCTAATGAAAAGTAGCCTTTGTCCTTAAATTGTGGCTTTTCATCATGAAGTAATCAGAGTCTACTTGGTAGTATTTGAGTTGTCTTACCCTTGGCCCCAAGAATATTAAAATTATGCCTGCATTATACTCTAACTGTAAAGGGCCATTTAAAAGGACTTTTGTAAGACAGATTTTTGAGAACTGCAGCTTCCTCAGGAACACTGAGATGCTGGGTCCTTGCTTAACTGTGGTTTTCTATTTGCTGTACCACTAAATGGCCTACTTACAGAATTTCCAAGTCAGGCTCAAGAGAGGCGCTGAGAATGGTGAAAACAGGAAAAAACAGCCATGAAGCCCTAGTAATAGATGAAGCTGCATGACAAGTCCCATGGTAACCTTCCAGCCTTTCTGCCCTGTGGTTAAGTGTGGAAATGCTGGAATAGCCTGTCACAAGAACAAAGTTCCCTTTTGCCTGGCAAGTCCACAGCTGATTAAATTAGGTGAACCTACTACAAGTTTAAGCCTTGTTTTTGAGACAGTTTCAATGGCTCCAGAATAAACTCACTTGCCCAAGATCATATGTGGCTCCAAGTCCAGCACTCTGACTCAGATTCTCTAACTCTAGAAGTGTCACTACAACTCTGTCAGATACAACATTCAGCTCACAGCTCTATGTTGTATAGGAGGCCTCCTGGGTTGGCTTTCCTGTGTCAAAACCAGTCTAAGAGGGAAAGGGAGTGACAGATAACAAAGCTCTTTAAGGAATGTATCTCTGCTTTAAAATGTATTGCAAAGTGGCTAGAGAGATGGCTTAGTGGTTAAGAGCACTAACTGCTCTTCCAGAGGTCCTGAGTTCAATTTCTAGCAATCACATGGTGGCTCACAACCATTTATAATGGGATCCAATGCCCTCTTCTGGTGTGTTTGAAGACAGCTAGCTATAGTGTACTAACATACATAAAATACTCATATGCATAAATCTTTAAAAAAAATGCATTCCAAGTTATCCTAAAACAACATGTCAGCACAAAGAATTTAGGTACAAAGGAAAGACAGAGGGAGGCAAATATACAAATAGATAATAGTATCGTCAAAAGAAAATTCAACAGCTTGCTTTATTTTAAAATAGTAACTTTCATATAGTAGAATGCTAGTCAAATTCAATACTGATATGAATATAAACTTCTTAGGTCAAAATATGTGGTCAGGCAATTTTTCTGAATCTCATAAAAGACAGTTTTCAAACCATATAAAATATTTAGAAACAATATACAGCAAAAACATACCACAATTTAAACTAAGTAAGCTATGAAAAATAGCCCAATCTTTGTTATGATTTAGAACACCTATTTTCAATAACTTAAAATATTATCTACACTTCCCATCTTTAAATTCTTCTGGGAAGAACCACTAGTCTAGATTTAAATAATCCAAGTATTTACTCGTGGTAAGAGATTCTAACATTAAAGAATCTATCAGAAACACAAAAATCAGCCAGGTGGTGGTGGCACATGCCTTTAATCCCAGCACTTGGGAGGCAGAGGCAGGCGGATTTCTGAGTTCGAGGCCAGCCTGGTCTACAGAGTGAGTTCCAGGATAGCCAGGGCTATATAGAGAAACCCTGTCTCGAAAAACCAAAAAAAAAAGAAACACAAAAATCATGAAAACTACTAAGTACTTTAGATTATAACAAGTCCTTCCAAGCCCTAGATAATAAAGGCAGTTTTCTACTTTCTAATAATACCTAAGGTTTATCTGCATAATGTAATTCATTGGCTGGCCAATAATAAATAGCTTAAAGGGAATTTATTCACCTATTCAGTAATGTTTCATTATAAAGGATATTTTGACCAATATTTCAAAATTATAAATTCAATTATGCTGACATTTCTAGAAGTATTGTGCTGGCTAGTTTGTCAGCTTGACACAGCTAGAGTCATCTAAAAGGAAGTGAACCTCAATTGAGAAAATGCCTCCATAAGTTCTGGCTGTAAGGCAGTCTCTTAATTAGTGATTGATGGGGAGGGCCCAGCCCATTGTGGGTGGTTCCATCCTGGGCTGGTGGTCCTGGGTTCTATAAGAAAGCAGGCCGAGCAAGCCATGAGAAGTAAGCCAGTAAGCAGCACCCTCCATAGCCTCTGCATCAGCTCCTGGCTCCAGGTTCCCACCCTGCTTAGTTCCTGTCCTCACTGCTTATGACAATGAACTGCTATATGGAACTGTGAGTGAAATAATCCATTTCCCCCACTAAGTTGCTTTTGGCCATGGTGTTTCATCACAGTGATAGTGACCTTAACTAAGACAATTCTTAACTTAGTAATAAATCATTTTTATGAAGCCACTTATTAAACTGATAAGAAAGATGATACATTCTGGCTTTTATTTAAGAAATTATTTAATTCAATAATTTGATTTGTTACTACTTGAGAAGTACATTTGCTTCCCAGTATTGAGTGGTAATGAGGTTTAAACAGCCTTCCTGGTCCTCACTTCCCTCTAAGAGAAAGCAATACAGAGACTCAGCAGTAAACATCTTCTGCTGTTTATGTAAACTCAGCTCCAGAAAACAGAAAGTAAAAACATACTCAAGACCTGTCCGAGGCATTCCCAGCTCCAATAGTGTGCTATGATAACAGTATACCAGCTGTTCATTGCTGACTAGTAAACTCTCAATGTAGAGGAAGATAACAGTGTCCTCACTGATGCCATTCATTGTGAGCTTTACATCTTTTTGTATCCAAATGTGTGCATATAAAACTTTTGCACAGACTTTAGTGTTAAGAACTGAAAATGCACATGATACATGTGTGTTAAGGAGAGCTCCAGAACTGACCATCTCCAAACCAACTTCTGGTGCTTTCACTACTTCTTACTTCTCTAATTAGGCTAAGAAGGAGACCAATGAACACTACAGTCAGGAATTTACTAAATACTGGTGATTTCTACTAGCCAAACTCAGCTCTGCAAGCCAACAGGTGAACCAGGAGTCTTTCTGAATTCGTTCTCCGTTAGCAGTCTGGAACATTCTCAATTAAAGCCTTCATTTTCCCTGTAGACTTCAATATATGTGGACCAAACTGTGAAAAAGAAAAGAAAAAAACAAAGCATGGAATAAGTCAGCAAGTATCTTCATGCAAACAACAGGCAGAAAGGAATTAGTACTGGAGTGGTCTACTCGGTCTCTGGGGGATGCCGCGTACACCTCACAAGCCCATGTCAGACCTCACTGGGAAAAATCCACAAGCACCCCTAGGAGAAAAGGATCCTGTCTTATTTTAAGTAAATCTTAAAATCTGAATACAAACACTATACTTTATCATCATGAAAATTTTATTAGATTGAATTTCACTTCATTATACTTAAATACAAAAATAAAACTCTGCAGGTAAATTTAACATTGGAAAGTGCTATGCAGTGAAACCCAGGATTAGACTCTGCTTTTTTTACTTATGTTTCTCTGTAAGTTTTGGATTTCCAAACAAACTAACTTTTACAGTGAGAAAAATAGACTACAAACATGTCATCCTTGCTGGACACAATGGCACAACTACTTTAATCCCAGCATTGGAGGTGGATTTAAGCCAGCCTTTCTACATAGCAAGTTTAAATCCAGTGTCGATTTCCTAAATCCCTGTTTAAAACAAAAGATCAATGATCCCAGCCAGCTACAATCTCCATATAGGTACAGAACAGCCCCTACAGCGTCCAGCAGGAGACACAAGTCGGTAGCTTAGATATGAATCTCCACCTAACATGCTACTACTCACCAGGGCTGGCTCTGAAGTGGCCTCTGACTCTGGCTTTGGAATTCCTCTTTCAGCTTCTCCTTGGCTATTGTGCCGATGTCGATATGCAAACTTCTTTTTCAGTGCCTCTGCTATGAGGGCAGCAGGGTCAGTAGTATCCACTGGCCTAGGTTTTACATCTTTCTCTGACCTTTGAGAAAGGAGCAGAAACCATGGAGACAGGTCAATATGTGGAGGTCCTCTAGAGGTTCTCTACGGACAACAAATGGTGACCAAGGCAATGCTAGTAGCAGGAGGGAGACTTGGACTTCAGAGTTCAACATGAGAGTGCAGTCAGATAAAGGGCCACAAGTCAGGGCTACATCTTCCAGAAGTATCCTGCATCTTCCTCCAGGAGAGGAAGCATCATCCCATGCCTTCACTGAAGGAGTGAGAACTCACAATAGAGTCTACATGTGGGCTAGTGAGATGGCTCAACAAGTAAAGGTGCCTGCCACCCGGACTGATGACCTTAATTCAATGCCAGGACTCACATCAAAGGCAAGAATCAAATCAGAAGTTGTCTTCTGACCTCCCCATACACACTGAAAATTTTCTTAAAACAGGTAACCTTTTTAAGAAATGAGTTGGGCATTGGTGGTGCATGCCTTTAATCCCAGCACTCTGGAAGCATAGGCAGGTGGAACTCTGACTGTGAGGCAAGCCTGGTCTACAGAGGGAGTTCAGGACAGACAGGGCTACACAGAAAAACTCTCATCTGGCAAAAAAAAAAAAGAAAAACAAGTTGAGTCTGCACAGGAGGATGATACTTGGTGGAACTGGGAAGCTTGCCTGAAGCACAGCTATTCCCTGCCCTTGACTATTCTGTGTGGAGGGGCTGTTAGACCTGCAGACCTTTCTTGAAGGGAAAATGTTCAATACTCATGTTATAAACCTGAGACTCCAGTACTCAGGCTCTACAAGACCAAGGTAGAAGCAAGAACAAAGGTGGGGGCCTTACCTCTTGACTGACCGTAGCTTCACACTGTTCATGTCTTTAAGGATCTCTAGCATGTTTGGCATGTCAGGCTTCTTTGGGTGGCCCTTAGCCAAAGTCTTTCCAGCACTGAGTCTTTGCTCTCTTCGTTCTTTAATCAGATCAAGAGCAGACGTACTTTGGTGGAGCACCAATGGAGGGAGCGGGGGCGGGGGAGGGGGAGGGGGTGCTACAGTAACAGATGTGGAAGAATCTAAGCAACCTACAGAAGAAACAAACAAAGTCCATCTTTCTGGTAAGAGGCAAGAAAATATCACTTTCTAAAAACAAAAGTATGTGACAGACTTCTGTATTCCTAAAAGCAATATCCTTAAAAAGAATATATAAGGAAAATGCAATTAGATTACTAAGAAATGTCTGAATCTGAACCCAAACTCACCCCATGGAAAAGTCCCATGCAAATGACTACAGATGGTTTTTTAAGAGTTTAGACACACCTGTTTGTAGAGAGCAGCATAATCACTCTTAGGAGAAACATAAAGCAGTTTATAATACTCATACACATCTGTCCTCAATACATACAATTGGACAATTCAGCACTCTCACAAATATCACAAAAACTTGCATCATACTAGATGTTTACATGCCTATAATCCCAGCACTTGGGAGACCAAACTCAAGGCCAACCTGATCTACATAATGAATTCCAGGTCACTTAGAGATACAGAGAAAAACCTTGTCTCACAAAACAGTGTCACATTTAATTTTCAAACAAAAAAGTAATTAAGTGTTAAAGAAATAAAATACCTAAAATTTACCCTTTTTGCCTAACTCAAAGTTAGCTGTCTCTGCTGCAGAACTGTACAAATGAGAGCTTGGGGAAATAGTAATGTCACAAGAGTTTTACTTGAAATATTCAGACCATAAAACATCTGAACAAACTGCAATGTTCTCTCTCCTATTTACGGTAGTTCCCCTAGTCTACCAGCAGAGGGAAGTAAAGAAAAGAGTTCCAAGAAAAAGCCAGAACTTGATATACAAAGCACATGTCTGTACAAATCTCGGAGACCACCCCTCACCTTCTAGTGCCCAGTGCCAAACACACCATAAGCAACATGATACTGGGAACTTAAGTGTCTCTTCAGGACTGGGAAATAACAGGAAAAACAACCACTACTTTTCAAGAAACTAGCAGGCTAGGATTTTAAGGCCATAGCTTCTTCTCCATGGGAAAAAATGTGCCACACCAATTAAACCAATAGGACTAGATGAAATCCTGACTTTGGTTTCTCCTTCTGTACAAGAGATGAAAAGGGCTATTAGGTACCTGCTGTGTGCATCTGTTTATTACTTTCCATCCTAATGGCACAGGGACTTGGTAACACAAATACTGTTATACCCAATTTAGAGCAGAAAAGCAAAGTGAAGGATTAGATGTTTACCTCAGGCCGTGCAGGTGTAAACAGCACTTCTCACAAGTCCCACACAGCAACAGTTCCTTTCCTCAGACAGAAAGCCACATTATGCCCTCTTGTCTGAGAGAAGCCGTTGCCAGATGGAAGAATCTAAGCTTCCCATAAAGTAGACATGCACAATAGCCCACTTCAAATGCAGGTATTTCAGAGTTTGACAAGCCGATTTTCCCCTACTCTTCTCAAACCAAAGTCACACACACATCATCAGGTTGTGTGCTGTCTTAGGCAAGACTGGAGAAGACTAATAGCTTGCACTGGCAAGTCACAACAACCAATTCAGGGGCCACATACCTGCACTTGGACTCTGTTGCTCCTGCAGGGTCACAATCTTGGCAATCTGAGCTCTAAGGGCAGCAAGCTCATTCTCAAGTGCAGAGATCTTCTGCAAAGCCTCCTCACTGGCTAGTGTCATTTTTGGAGAAGGCTTGTCTTGAGATAAGTTTGGTAAGGAAATGTGCCTGCTTGGGGGCTTCTCAAAGTAAGGAGGGTCATCCTCAAGAGGAGGCTTGGACCTGACCTCTGCCCTGCAAGGAAAACATAAAGGTGGCCATCACAAGATTGTTAAGGAGAGCTGAGTAGATACCTACACACTGCTCATCAGGATATCATCGAGTCAATATTCTCCAGCTATGTACCAGCATTGCCCCCACTCCTTTACTGTCTACAGAGCCTGTTGCTCCTCCACCACTGTCAAGAGGTACCACAGGAGCTCAGAAAGGCTGCTGATTGTTTTTGGGTTTTTTGTCTTCACCTAAAAAATTTCATCTTCCAAATGGCAATCTAATCATAACCAACAGAAAGATCAAACCAAGAATGTATAAGCCCTTCTGTAGGGTCCTGGCTTTGCCTTCTAGTACCAGCATTTCCTGTATTTGATTAAACATATTAAACAAGAAATATGGGAACAATATAATCCAACTACATCCCAGAAACTGAAAAGAAAGGGGAACCATTAATGTCATTTCTCTCTTATGCCCACACTGTGAAAGTCTGAACACTGGAAACACTGCTCCCTGAAGTCTGACATGCCAGTCACTGGGAACACTTCAAAACTGGAAGAATTCTTTGTGAGTACAGGAAGCAATGCTAATTCCTGGTATGAAGATCAATAATTCAAAGTAGCCTAGGATACATAGTAAGTTAGAAGCTAACATGAGCCACTCTAAAGAGCAGAAAGAACTGCACTGCGCCTGGATTAAGGACTTTAGTTTCTAGTTTCTTCTGCAGTTTAGGGAACTGACTGTGGCTGACCAGATTAATAAAGCTTCAGACAGTGCTAGTCAGCAACTGAACACAGGTAAGTCTCAGCCTTCTCCTGTGTGCTGAGACAGTGCAGTGTACTGTGATGTTTTAGTGAGAACAGTACTAGAAGAATACCTGAGCCTGATCTCTGAAATCCACATGTTTGCAGATGTGCATATATGTCCACAAGCATGAGTAAGTACTCACCACACAGCACATGCATACACAAAATAAGGCTTACATTTCTACATGCCTACAGATGAATACCATCTTTTCCTTTCTACTGAAATTTTAAATATAAACACAACGAAAAGCATCTAGAACAGATGTTTAAAAAGCAGAAAACAGCTGTGATACGTTTCTTTAAAACCATTTCGCCATACCAGCTCTGTCTGCTAGTGAGATTTCTTCATGTTTTTCCTGCTTCACTTGGCTCGCAGATGCTCTACGGTAGAAGAGCAGACTCCTGAGTAAAGTACAGTGTGCTGAAATCCTAACTGTATTATTACTGTGCTGGTTTGTTTTATGTCAACTTGATGCAGCAGGAGTCATCTGAGAGGAGGGAACATAATTGATAAAACGCCTCCAGCACAGTGGTTCTAAACCTTCCAAATGCTGTGACCCTTTAAAACAGCTCCTTGTGTTATAGTGACCCTCAACCATAAAATTATTTTTGTTGCTACATCATAACTGTAATTTTGTTACTGTTATGAATTGTAATGTGTTTTCTCTGTGTTTTCCAATGTTATCAGATGACCCCTGTTGAAACAGTCCTTCAACCTTCAAAAGAGTCTTAAGACTCTTTTAAGAACCAATACCCCAGAAGATCAGGCTGTAAGCAGACAGGCTTAAAGGGCATTTTCTTAGTGATTGAGATTGAGTAGCGAGGGTCCAGCTTATTGTGGGTGGTGCTATCCCTATGCTGGTAGTCCCAGGTTCTATAAGAAAACAAACCACAAAGAATAAGCCACTAAGCAGCACACTCCATAGCCTCTGCATCAGCTCCTGCCTCCAGGTTCCTGCCCAGTGTGAGTTCCTGTCCTGACTTCCTTTAAACAGCAATGTGAACATAAACTGAATAAATCCTTTCCTCCCCAACTTGCTTTGGATTCATGGTGTTTCAGGACAATAGTAACCTTGACTAAGATAATTATCATTCTTCCTTGATATAAAGAGAAGCCAGTTTGGGCTTTATTTTGAAACAGTCTCAGATGTCCCAGGCTGACTTTTAAACAAGTTCTCCACTCTGAGAAACAGCCTTTCCATCTCCTTACCCCTGGCTGGCCCCTCAATATTCAGCTCTGGAACTAACTTCTCCAGAAGCCAGGCTAACTTCTCTCATCAGGCAAGGCCTTTCTCCAGCTGTATCAGTAACACTGACTTCTCCTAGGACCTCCAGTACACCAAGTAAGTCTAAACCTAAAGACTGTGTCTGATCTCTGATTCTCAGAGTGAAGAACAGTGCTGAGTAACTTTCTTAGATTGACTATGTAGTAAATATTCTTTGTAAGCTTTCAAATGAATGGAAACATCTCTAACATTCATCTGACCCCAACTCATCTTGATATAATTTTTAAGAAACATTCTCCAAGAATACAAATTCTCTATGATCTGATGGATTCCTGTACTCCAGTGAAATGATTATTTACCTAACTCATCTTTGACAGTTCTTTCTGGCCACTTATACAAGAATATTACCTGAATGGAAGGGAATTCTGTGATTCACAACGACTTAGGCTGAACGTTCCTGGGAACTTTACAAATATTAGCTGATTCTGAAAAATAAACCCAAAAGAAGACTGCCCCCACCTCCCAAAAAAAAGAGCAGGGCAAGCTATCATCAAATCAAGTGTTCCAATGCATCCTTGAAAACAGCAGACACTGCATCTCAATCCCATAGCCTTCCAAACTAACCTGAGTCTTGTTGAGCACTCTCCTTCTTCAGTGGCTACCCATCCAACATCAGCAAAAGATGCCACCACATCCTCTCCTGAGTGCGTGGGACTCCATTCTGTTGCATGGCTGGTAAGCTGGAGGTTACAAAGAGAGAAAGTCTTTTATCTGTGTACATAAATTTAAAAACCAAAGAGAAACCATCAGGCTGGTGCTAACACCTCATGGGTGGTCCATAGCTATATGGCAGGCCTCCATATGCTACTGAGCCCTGGTTCACCACTTTAGGATTTTTAACTTAACATTACCCAATTTCTACATCATAATTCTTTTATTTTATTCATCTAAAAACTTAAGAAAAAAATTAGATTCTAAGTATTAAAAACCACTGACTGATTTGGGGCTAGGGATGTAGCATAGTGATAGGACACTTGGCTAGCATGCTTAAGGCACTGTGCTAACACCCAAAACAAAAATGATACCACTTTTTCCTGAAATAAATGTGGAGGACACAAAGTCAACAAAGTCACCACTCACTGTAGTAAACGACTAAAAGAGCCTAGTAATGCTGATGGTTAATACTGTCGAGCCCCACTGTGGTAATATATAATAATAATATATATATATATAATAACTAGTGATGGATGGTTAATGAAGTCAAGTACTAAAGTTTTAACACTATTTAAAAAAAAAAAAAGCCGGGCGGTGGTGGCGCACGCCTTTAATCCCAGCACTTGGGAGGCAGAGGCAGGCGGATTTCTGAGTTCGAGAGTTCGAGGCTAGCCTGGTCTACAGAGTGAGTTCCAGGACAGCCAGGGCTACTCAGAGAAACCCTGTCTCGAAAAACCAAAAAAATAAAAAAATAAAAAAAAAAAAAATAAAAAAAAAATAAAAAAACCAAAGCCCGGGCAGTGGTGGCGCACGCCTTTAATCCCAGCACTTGGGAGGCAGAAGCAGGCAGATTTCTGAGTTCAAGGCCAGCCTGGTCTACAGAGTGAGTTCCAGGACAGCCAGGGCTATGCAGAGAAACCCTGTCTCAAAAAACCAAAAACAAAACAAAAACAAAGTGCCAAGGAGCAAAATTCTCTAGCTAAACTTAAACATATGAAGGAAAACTATTTTGAAAGAAATACCAAAGAGTATACTAAAATGTACCTGAGGGGGAAAATAATTTAACTGTATTAATTTAGGCTACATTTCATATGTGTCAGAGTCAGAAGGACAATGATTAACAATCTGCATATAAAGCTTCCCAATTAATCCCTAAAAGTGACGTTTGGAAGGGTTGTGGAGCCAACTTAGTTGTAGAGTTCTTGCCAAGCATGCAAAATACCTAAGTTCAGTCCCCAGTAAAGGAAGAGAAAAAATAATTAAAGAAACAAACACAACTCACTTGTGAATCAAAGAAAAAAAAGGCCAGAGAGATTTCCTCAGTAACACACTCCTCAGACATGCTACCCTGGGGAACTTGTCCAGCATTCAGACCATCTTCCTGGAAACTCAGGACTCCATACATCAGATTCTGGGAGTCTGTCTTTAGTAGTGCTTTATTTTGGAGGAAAGCTAAAAATTCTGTAATTTTTATTGAAGAGTATAATGTCTTAATTTCAAAAGCAGATTCTGTCTGATCCCTGCTTAACTTCTTACCAGGCTGTACTTGCCTAGCAGCAGGAACCCTGGGCTTGGTCCCCAGCAGAACATCAACAGAGCATGGTGAAGGTGGAGGTAAGAGGGTCAGAAAGTCAAGGTCCACTCAATCACAATACAACATCAGAGGACAGTCTGCGAAATGGGACATTTCCACAAAAACAAAAAGGAACAAGGGCAGTAAAGCACTCATCTCAGGGCACGGTGGCGCATGCCTGCTCTGACATTGCACCCAACAGTAGGGAGGTAGGGGCCTCAAGTCCAGCCTTGGCTATACAGTCAGACTTATTTCAAATAACGGGGCGGTGGGAGACTGTCCACATTCAATGACTCAAATCTAATTGTCCAGGCTTTATAAATGACAATGATTATGATCACTGTTTTACATCTGAATTTAAACCCTGGGACTCATTCATATTGTGGAAATGACTCCTAAAAGTTGTCCTCTGACCTCCACATGTTTTCCAGGGAGCATGCATGGTGCATGCACACAAACAAATAAATAAATAGAATTTTAAAAGTGTAAGAGTGGTTGGAGCAATAGCTCAGAGGTAGAGCACTGGACGTTCTTCCTGAGGACATGGGTTTAATTCCCAGCATTCCATGGTAGTTCATAACCATCTGTGTCTCTGGTTCCAGAAGACTGGATGCCTATGCTAGCCTCTGTGGTACACAGGTGCAGGCAAAACACCCATATACATACAATAAAAATATGTGAGTCTTTTGCTAGGTCATGGTGATGGTACACACCTTTAATCCCAGCACTTGAAAGACAGAGGCAGGCAGATCTCTGAGTTCAAGAGCAGCCTGGTCTACAGAGTGAGTTCTAAGACAGCCAGGGCTGTTACACAGAGAAACTGTCTCACAAAGCAGGGCAAAACAAAAGTGTAGGAGCAGAAAACCAAAAATATAACATCTTCTAGGTGTTACTTTACAGCTTTATCTAAATACTAATAATGCTGCAAAACCATACCATGTATATGAACAGGTGACACAAGACCAATGAGATAAAATGGCAACACAGTTGTCAAGATCTGTCTCTACTACACAAGCTGTTCCCCTACTTAAGTCTAATTCAATGAAGAGACAAAGGAAAACAGAACCCAAAGGAACATTTTAAAAGGTGATTCACCGACTACTTGAAAAGAACATTCCTGAGTGATGTAATCAGGAAACGGGAAAGGCCAACTCCAGGACAACTCAAGCAAAATATAAGTCCAAGGTGAAGTGCATGCTGGCAAGGGGGAGCAAGGCCAAGGTCTTCAAGCATGACTAAGATATCACTGCCATGGGCATTCATGGATGGCCATGAGCATGCACGGCTGAGACAAGATGTCTGAAAACAAAGGACTTACTGTTAATTGTAGGAAGGTCCTGTCCTTTTAAAGCTACTGTTAGCAGAACAGATTAGAGTGAAAACACAGAAAATGGAGATCAGGTGCTATAGTTTTAAAGTCTTTAAGAAATTAAAAAACAGTAACCCAAAACTCATTAGTACATTAGAATCTTACCACAACATTCTTGACTATTTTATAGTATTCTGATAAACTACCCTGAGGGAATGGACTTCAACAAAATGCTTAGTATTCATATACACACCAAAAAACACATCAAGCTTTGGTCACCTGCTCTAGAATGGCTTATGTATTTACATATAACATGTCCACACTCACCCATATACTTCACCCAGTCATCTCTAAATTACTTGTAATACCTAACATGACTTAAATACTGAAAGTCTGTGTATGCTCCATATACATGTTTCCCCCCAAGACATTTCTGATTGTAACCCAAACCCTATGCTCATTAACATATCTGCTTGTTTAATATCTCTCTAGGAAAATATCAGCACCTAGCAAAAAGCATAAACTTCAAGTTTATTTGTTAAGGAAAAATGGGCTATTTTCTTTAAGTGGGCATTTTGCTTCCAGATGTGTGGGTTCCCTGTAGTGGAAATGTAAATCATTACTTTCATAGTTACATAACTATTCCAATTCCAAAAACCACTCCTGAAAATTCAAGAAAACTGTCCGAAACAAAACTACCCCAAACCAAGACTGAATTACCCAGAGGCCTATGAGTTGCAGAAGGTGGTCAACTCCCATCCAGGTTATCACAAACTATCTAAGAGCATTTGTGATCACCTGCATGTATATTTTCTTAAATTTAAGATATAAAAATGCACGCTTGCATTTGCAGAGTGTTTATTTCCTTTTTCTGTTATGGAAACAATGTATCATTCATTATGTAGCTGGAGCTAGCCTGAAACTCCTGATCCTGCCTCAGCCTCTAAGGTGCTGGGATCCAAGGTATATATTCCCAGCTCTTCCTGTTTTCATTTCATACAACTTAGAAGTTCATAAAAACAAAACCTTCAAAGTTCTTTACCTAGTCCTTCACAGTGATGAACTGACAGGATTACTGCCAGGAAGGAAACTCTCTTATTTTTTTACAATTATTTACTTATTTACCGTGTGTGTGTTTGTGTGTGTGTGTGTGTGTGTGTATCCGTTACTGTGAGTGTGCAAATCAGAGGACAACTTAAAGAGTCACTTTTCTCCTTTTACCACGTGGGTCCCAGGGTCAAACTCCTCGTGCTTTGCAACTTGCTCTCCCCAAGAAACATTTTTAAGTGCAAAAGGTACAGCTAGATGTTAGGATATTTGCCTAGTACAACTTAAGGCCTAAGGTCAACCCTAACCACCACAAGACAACACAGTAACAAAAGAGGACTTCTATAGGGTCAGAAGAGCTGAAGAACCAGCCAAACTGGTTCAAGGTCATTTGGGAATTAACAATTGTCTTATCACAGGCCTCCCAAGCTTCCCTAGGCATTTTCAGGGAGGATAAATGTTGAGGATCTGGAATAATCACTTCAGAGCAACTAAAATTAGAAAGACCTTGACTGTTAATCCTCTCTATTTCAGTGTTATTAATAGGAGAAAGCCTAAAAACAATTCAGTATTTCTGAAAATACCATGCCTATTACCATTCTAAGGTACACATTACACCATGAAAATATGAAAAGCACAAAACCCAGTACCTGAAATTGAACTCTTGGACACTGAATCAGAGATAAGTTGGTACCAATTTTCCTTACAATACTTCGAGATGAACCATATGGTTTTCCAGACCACAGTGCCTAAGGAAACAAGGAAAAGCCAAACAATTATAAATTTCTCCAATTGTTAGTACAATACATGGGCCTACTGAGTGAATGCTAACACAGTAGTCACAGTTTCAGAATGTTCTCAATGTTCTAGGAAATAAGCTACTATTTCTCAATTCCAAAATGTTAACGGATGGACAGACAGTTGGTATTACAGCAAAAATATCTTCATATAACATATTATGTAAAAATATAGACTAGTATCTAGCATATTTTGATTGTGTGTGTGTGTGTGTGTGTGTGTGTGAGTGTGAGTGTGTGTGTGTGTGTGTGTGTGTGTGTGTGTGTGCTGGCTTACATATAAAGGTCAGAGAACACCTCTGGAGTCTATTCTCTCTTGCCACCTTCACTGAGTTCTGGGTATCAAACTCAGGTTTGTGCAGCAATCCATCTCAGCAACACCAATATCCTCTAGCAATCTTAAAATAATACCGTACTGGGAAGTACAAACTATTTTCTTACGATTCTACACAAGAAATGTTCTGTACCTATTTTACCATATTTTCAGTTTTAGAATTTTAAAATCATAAGAATTTGGAAATATGAGCCACTTTGACTAAGGTAATCTTTCAAATTAAATCCAAAATCCATATGAAGCTTGAGGAGTGGTTGTGTCATGAATATTATTTTTTACTACACAAAGGTGACTGTCCCAGCATTTGTGGGATAAATCCAGTCCCACTTGTCCCACTTGAAGGGCCTGTCTTTAAATCTTATAAAATGCTATGTGCGCTAGGAGTTGGCACCCTGAGGACACCCCCACCCCCCCTACCCCCCACCCCCCCAACTCCCTCCACCCCCAGTGAGAGATGACTCAGTGCACTAGATGATACCTAAAAACTCACAACACAGCCCAGGCCATAAATGTTAGTTAGGTTACTGGAGACTTCAGCTGGAATAGTACCCTTCCAACACAGAAAATCTACCCATGTCCAATGCTATATCCGAAAGCCTAGACAGAGAGGTAAAGAGCAGTTTTGAAAGAAAAAAAAATCATAATTCAAATTTTCATCTTCAATTATCTCTTAATACTAAATAAACACCAGTCAGATAAAAATGGACATAGTTCCCTATTTAAAGTCGGCCAAAATTCTAATTTAAAGAATGAAATTATGCTACTATATTAATGTAATTATGAATACTAATTAACCTAATGGAAACTTTATGACCAACAGTTAGTTCCCATTTACTACGGTGGATATAATACTTACCAAAACTAGACCATATACCATTCTCAAAGCATATACAGTATATAAAAACACTCATAGAAATAGCTTTAAATTCTCCAATTTTAGTAACTAAATCCAGTTTAGAATACTATCATGTATGAATCAGAGTGAAGTTTGTGGGGGTACATGTGGTACCCACCCCACCTCAGGCATCTGCCTCATTTTAAGTTTTTCTATCAACTATGGTCCTGATTTTACTGACTTTTATCTGGAAGAATTACAGAAAATTCTATGGCAGCCAACAAAACCTTTTAGATGCTGTTTTTCTTCTTAAAAAGAAAAAAAAAATCTTTGTAAGCAAATAAAACTGACAGCACAATTTGGAAACTTGAGTCAGTGAATAGATTCAATATTAAAATGTAAATGAAGTTACAAAAAGAACTTGAAGACAAAGTTACCCTCGTTTACAGAAAGTATAAAAGCACCAGCAATTATATAGAGGCCCATCAGCAGTCTCCATTACATGATGGAAGAACAGCCAACAGAGAAATGGTTCTCACAGGTCACAACAACAAAAAGAATCACCAGGCAAGAAAGAATATGAGAAAGTCATTATAGAACACTATCCTTAAGCTTTTTACCTTATACATTTTGATACGTCTTGATCTTTTAAAATAAAACCCATAGGGCAATGGTAACTACAGCAGTCAGTCATTTCTTTTCCAATCTCCCATTTAGTCACAAGCCAAAGTTCTACTGTGATGTAGGAAAAGCGGAATGATATTTGTGCATCATAATGTAACAATTATCTAGTCTGAAGTGAACCTCACATCTCTAGGAAGCAAATTCCTGCCCAAGGAGGAAGAAAGATCATAAAGAAAACCTTGGAAAGGACCTGCCCAGGTCTGGGCCAATGCTTCTGCCAGACTCCAGCAACCCTCACTAGCGTCTTCCCATCTGTTTAACATCAGCAGGAAAGAATGTCAGGTGCTCTCAAGAAGGGAAGTGGCCAGTGATTCAGCTTTTAATTATAAGGAATAAGTAAACTGTTTAGGCCTTGCCTACAAAATTAGAACAGACTGCTTTGTGTCATTACGTTTTTAAGCATACACAGTAAACTAACATAATGTTGCTCTTCTGATCCTTATGAACTAACTGCCCAGTACTTAGTATGAAAACAATAATACAAAGCAAAAGACTGTATAATGACTGGAATACTTAGAAAGAAGTCACAGCCTCCATAAGATGGTAAAAAATAAGAGGAAACAGCTAACTTCCAGGAAGTCTAATGTGAGATCCTGATACCTGATTCTTTTTTTTTTGTTTTTTTTTTTTTTTTTTTTTTTTTTTTTTTTTTTTGGTTTTTCGAGACAGGGTTTCTCTGTGTAGCCCTGGCTGTCCTGGAACTCACTCTGTAGACCAGGCTGGCCTCGAACTCAGAAATCCGCCTGCCTCTGCCTCCCAAGTGCTGGGATTAAAGGTGTGCGCCACCACAGCCCGGCTCTGATACCTGATTCTTTCTTTCTCCTCCCGACCCCCTTTTAAATCCAGCCCTCACAGTGGGGAGAAATTGTAAATGGCTCAGAAGAAACAGTGAACACTTGGTACCCTGACTTGTGGCTGAACTGTACTTCTCAGTATACTAGTTTGGAGAAGGGCAGACTCTCTAAAGAGAAACTGCCATCAAATTTTTCTCAGATGAAAGAGTAGGCAGAGAGAAAACTGTCATTACTAGAAAATTTGATCTAATTAATAAGACATTCAATTAACTTCTGAGAGAAACTATACATTGCTTTATCTACAAAAACTGCTTATAATCAACAACGTCTGTACTTGTGTATGCCTGTGTCTAGGAATGCCAGTCCACAACATTTAGCAACAGGGTTTGAAAGTGATGATAGCAAGGAAAGACAAGAGAAAAGCAATTTGTTTTCTTTCGTGTGGTGAAATGCTATTGTAGAAGTGTTGACATTTGAAGCTGTCATCTGTCCCTGCTCAATGTAGGAACCCATTAGAAACTATATTATTATTTGAAAAAATTTAGTCAAACAATAAGCTTCATTCTAATATTTTCTTCAATCTATATGATACAGTTTCAGTTTCATATCCCTGAAATTATTTGTAAATTAACATGTGCATGTAACATTGGGGGAGATGGAAGAATACAAACCATTAATTACAGTTTTTAAGAAGATTCAACAAATACAAATTCCTAATTCCAAAGGACCCATGAAAAAAATTTAAAAGCATGCGGGTATGTGACCACCCAGATACACAGCACATCCAATAGTAGAATCTCTAACCAAAGAGTCGTTCTCTCAGTTCTCCCAGCCACACAATGGCTTATACTCTTCTTTCTAAGCACAGACGGTAACAGAGGGATAACTGAGGTGTATAAATAGACTGATAATACAATTCACATATTGCCTATAATTTTTCAAATATAAATTGCTGGGAACAGTTCCAGTCATATTCAAATGACTGATGGTTTACACTCTAATGCCATCACTCTGGAGACTGAGACAGGGGTATCTTAAGTTCATGTCCAATATGGGCCACATATAAGACTGTCTCACAAAAGTCTAAATATAAACATAGATTTTGAATTTTTTTCCTTATGGACAACCATATAGGATGCAGAAAGAATTCAAACATCATGAAGATGTTTTAAGTACAAACAAATGTTGGAAGTGTGGCTGGTGAGATGACTCAGCCCATAAAGACTTATGACCTGAGTTCAATACCAGAACCCACACTGTGGACGAAGAGAACTGACTGGGATCTGTCTGTCTGTCTCTTTCCTTTCCTTTCTCCAATTAGAGTTGTCCTCTAATTTAAATGTACTTGTTGAGGAAAGATGGTTCAGCAGTTAAAAGTACTAGCTGTTCTCCCAGGGCACATGTGATTAATTCCCATCACTCACATGGAGGCTCACAAACAATGGTCTCTAACTCCAGTTCCAGGGGATCTGGTACCCTCTTCTGCTCTCCTTGGCACCAAGTACAAAGTGATGCATATGCAGGCTCATATATGCAGGCAAAATATACATACACACAAAACAAAATATTACCAAAAAAAAAAAAAGTTGAGCCAAGCATTATGGGCCACACCTTTTAATCCCAGTCAAGAGGTAGATTGTGGAGAGCTTTTGGGGCCTCTTGGCAGAAATCTGACATTGGCCAAGGAAAGGGCTTTAGTCAGAAATCTGACATTGGGCCATGACAAGGAAGTAAGTTCAGGCAGGAATCTAATTTTAGGCTAAAACAGAGAAGTAAGTTCAGTCAGGAATCCAAGTCTTAGGCTAGAACAAAGAAGTAGGCTTCAGGCATGAATATGACTTTGGGCTAGGACAAGGAAGTAGGCTCAGATATTTTGGTCATCCTGATGAGTCCTTGGAAACAGTGATCATGGGAGTGAACATTGCTTACCGCCTAGCTTGTTCCTTGACTATTTGCATCTATTGTATTGCTAGTTCCTCAACCCAGAACTGACCTAAATACCTGCATGTAATTAAAATGGTTTTAAAGCAAATTGGGAAAAAAATAATGCTGCCTTCAGTCTCAGAACTGGCTGGGGTAATGCTACAATGTTGTCTAATGGTCTTTTTTCTTTTTAATCCTCACTCCTGTTCTGGAGAACCTGTTGACTGACTGGGCTGGCCTGGTCAGTAGATCTCTGTAAATTGTAGGCTAGCCTGGTCTACACAGTTCCAGGACATCAAGAGTTATAGAGTGGGGCACTGTTTAAAGAAAAAAGGGAAGCGAGGTAGAAGGCAGTGAAAAGACAGATACAGCACAATCTGGCACAGCATTAAGCCTTGGCTTTAAAAGCAGGATCTGCCAATTTATTGTCTATAAACAAATCATTATTCCTTACACTTCTACTTTCTCATCTATAAAGTGGATACTATAATTTCATGAGTCTATGAGTATTAAATGAGTTAAGGTACTCATTAGGGTTTCTTCCCCTTCTTTTAGAAGTACCAAAATATACTAGAAAGAGGCAGGACTGTGGACACAGACCTGGTCTCTGCCTCAGGTAACTGGACAAGGCAGCCAAGCTGGGAAGTTCAGTTTCTTCTCTGTAAGGAGTAGTGGTCTGAATGTAAAAGCTTTGGGCACTGAGTACTGGTTAGAGCATTGTTAATGTCTACTGTAAAATACGTAGGTAAATGGCATGTAATCCCCATTACTCAGGAGACTGAGGGACTACAGTTGCATGTTCAAAACCAGACTGAGCAACTTTGTGAGACAGTATTTTATAACATTTTATATTTATATAACATGTATATAAATATACAGTATTCTATAACATTTTATATTTTGGTTTTTTTGTTTTGTTTTGTTTTGTTTTAAAGGGATAGGGAGTTGCTGGTGCAATGACTCAACAGTAAATGGGGCTTGCCCAAGATTGGCTACTTGAATTTGATCCCTGAAACCCACATAAAGGTGGAAGGAGCGAACAGATCCACTTAGTTACCTTTAACTTCTAACATGTGCCTAGTATCATCCACCACACACTTTATACACATGCACACCATGTTTTTAAAAGGGGAGCTGGGAGATAGAGATGTAGGTCAGAGGTTGAGCCATGCCTTGCATGTACCAGGCCCTAGGTCCAATGTCCAATATAGCAAATGAATACACACAAACAACAGACTCCAGCCAGAAAGATGGCTCAGCAGGGAAAAGCCCTTGGTGCCAAGCCTGATGACCTGAGTTCCATCCTTGGAACCTACATAGTGGAAAAACCAAGTCCTCCAAGTCTTTCTGAGGCTTGAACACATGCACAATGAATGTTGGTTTTTAACAATGGGGAAGCAGATAAAACAGGTAAAGAAGGAGGCCAGTTTGGGCTTCTAGGTCATGTTAAGCATATTATCAAGTTCATTGTCATGCCAAGTTCTTGAAAAAATACACAATGCATGTTAACCACCTGATCCCAGTTTCACTGTATGTGAGTCTATCCCTTTTTTATTCCTTTGATGCCCCTATCCAGAGAGACACTGCTATCTAATCCATGGTTAACTATACTGGCAAGTATTCTTGTTCCTAGTTTAGGGATGAAAATCTGAGTTTGAAACTAGTGTGGCCTATATATTAACTTACTCTTGTAAGCCTGGGACATACTGGGATCTTGAATATATTTTTAAAAATTAATAAAATCATAATCTCCAAAATAAATAAAATCACCAGGTGATGGAGGCACACACCTTTAATGGCAGTACTAGGGAGGCAGAGGGAGGCGGACCTCTGAGTTCAAGGACAGCCTGGTCTATAGAGTGAGTTCCAGGACATTCAGGGTTATACAAAGAAGTACTGTCTTAAAAAATAAATAAATAAATAAATAAATAAATAATAAGTAAAAATCCATGGTATTGAATTATATAATAGGCTAAATTTTCTCTCTATTGTTACATTTTAGAAACTATGCTTTATCATTTATCTATAATATTTAGTATTAATTCAAAAACACTCAAAGTTACAAATTGTGAGCCAGTCCGTGATTTCTCTCTATTGAAGCTTTTCTTCACTAGTGAATGTACTCTTCTTCAGATCATGTAACTACAGTTTTAAGTTTTAAACATAACCTAAGAAGTCACTGCCTCACTGTACAGGGAACAGACCCACCTCTGTGATTTAAACAGTAATCAAATCACAGCATACAATAAACTTAAATGTTGTTAAAGGTTCTATCATTTTCTCAGAAAAGCCTCAGAACATCTAAATTTCTGGATTTTAGGATGGGCTGTGAGCACTCACCGACTGCATGCTGACCCCAACTCGCTGAAACCACATCCTCATCAGGCACTTAATCCAGCCCAGCATGGAGATGGCTGAGTCTTCCCAACCTGCAGGTCAAGTACTTCAGGCATCCATAGCAGCACATGGTCCATAGAGTACACTGAAAATTTCAATGCAAATACTGAGTGTAGTATAAACAATTTTCAACTGAGTACTAATGAGATCATTTTTTATTTACAACCTCTATATTTGCATGTCTCACAAAGTAAGCTTTAACTACAAAACTTGGAGTGCAAATTAGAGAAAACAAAATGTACACATTCTCAGCTTGTTTACATGGTAGCACACACCTATAATCCCACCACTCAGAAGTCAAAAGCAAGCAAACTCTTACGAGTTTGAGGCCAGCCTGGTCCACATAGTTCCAGAATAGCTAGAGCTACAAAGAGACTCTGTCTCAAAAAACTAAAATAAAATAAATAAAACAATGATAATAACAACAACAACATCGGCATGACACATATGTTGTAATGTGAAATCATGCAGCATGTCCAACACTAACCAGAACATACATGTCTTCATTACTGTATAAAAAAGCCCGTGACTAGACCTTAGATCAGATACACTGTAGCATCATCCCCTTGTTCTATGCAGGTTATATGAACAAATCTTTGAGTCAACAGGAATTTAAGAAACAAAGACAACTGTCAAAACAGAAATGAGTGATTTTTTTGTTGTTGTTGTTATAAAGCAGTCAGATGTGGTGAATCTCAAATGTAATCTCAGCATTTGAAGAAAAAGGCAGGAGAATCCATTGTTCAAAGCCACCCTAAACTACAAGAAATCCTGTCATAAAAACAAAACAAAACATTCCTGAGTGTGGTAGCACTGAGAAGGCTGAGGCAGAGGGATCAGCGTATGAGCACCATGGCCTACATAAGAATATACTGACAGCAAATAAGACAAATAACAGCATCCTACCATCATTAACTTCATAAAGTTAAAGTGCAAAGTCACTCCTGTAATTCCAACACTTCTGAGACACAGGAAGAGCTGAGAGCTTCCAGCCAGCCTAAACTACACAGCAAGACACTGTCTCAGTACAAATAGGCAAACATCTTTGTTTGTTTTTTGAGACAGGGTTTCTCTGTATAGCCCTGGCTGTCCTGGAACTCTCTCTGTAGGCCAGGCTGGCCTTGAACTCAGAAATCCCCCTAGCCACAACCCTCTCTCTCCCCACTTCCACTCCCCCTATTCCCTACCCCTTCCCAACCCCAGCTAATTTCATGCTTTTCCTACAGATCTGTCTCAGTCTCAGAAACCTACAATATGCAGCTTTTCTGCCTGGTTCCTTTCACCAGTAAGATACTTAAGCTTCATCCACACATAGCTTTTCAGGTTGAAAAGCTAATTTCTTTTTTTTTTTTTTAAAGATTTATTTATTTATTATATATGAATACACTGTAGCTGTCTTCAGACACACCAGAAGAGGGCATCAGATCTCATTACAGACGGTTGTGATCCACCATGTGGTTGCTGGGATTTGAACTCAGGACCTCTGGAAGTGCAGTCAGTGCTCTTAACCACTGAGCCATCTCTCCAGCCCGAAAAGCTAATTTCTTTTGTGCTGAATATTCCGTTCTCTAAAAGTGCCATGGTTTATTATTTATTCATCTAAGATATCTCAATTGCTTCTAAGCATTAATTATGACAAACAGAAAACCTATTTATGTATATATGTGACCACCTACTTATGGGGTATCACAGGACAGTTTCAGGGGCCATTCCCTCAACACACATTTTTCTTTCAACACAAGGTCAGTCCTTGGCCTGGAAGGTGCCTGAGCAGGGTATACTTGGCTGGCTCGCAAGCTCCAGGGATCTGCCTATCCCTTCTCCCAGTGCTTGGATTACAAGCATTCATTATCCACACTCAGTTTTTCAGTTGGGTTCTGGGGATTAAATTCAGGTCCCTGTGTTTACCAACTGACCTACCTCCCCAGCCCTGGGTTTTCTTGGATTTGCTTATTTGTTTTGTTTTCTTATTGCCTGCACGTTTTTTTCAGACTGGGTCTATCATAATCCAAGCTGGCTTTAACTGAAATGACTTTGTATTTATGATCCTGCCTCTGCTTCTTGAGTTCAGTTTATAGGTATGTGCCACCAAACCCAGACAGATTTATTTTTAATACTACATTGGTCAGGGTTCTCAAGAAAATCAGAACCAATAGAATGTTACAGAGATTAAAAAAAAAAATTATGAAATACTGATTCATTCAACTATAGAGACTGAAAATGTCATGCCAAATCAAAATGGGCAGTGTAGTGACTTAATGACCTCCACTGGACTCTAGGGAACATCCCAACTCCACATATTCCACAATCACTCACCATAGAGCTTTCCTAGGCAGTACTCATTGTTTAATGGAAAACTGGCTAGCCACTGGAATACTGCTGTTTCTACGGACTGCTCTGAAACCGTTAGGTTCATTATTACTTTAAAAGTGTCAATGTTGCTTCCTGCCAATTTCTCCCTTAAAACAAAACAAAGCCCTGAAACAGATTATGTAGTAAAGGAATGACCCCCATTGGCTTTCTTTCTTTTTTTTTTTTTTTTTTTAATTTTTATGCTCTGTATCCAAGTCTGCCAGATGCATGTGGAAGCCTGAAGAAGACCTGAAGATGGCACTAAATTTTCTGGAGCTGTATTTGTATAAAGGGGTTTTTCGGCCTCCTAACATGGGTTCAGGAAACTAAACTCAGTCCTCTGGAAAGCAGCAAAGTGTACCTCCCTGCTGAGCTCTCTCCAACTCTGGCTCTGAACTTGTGATTCTCTTCTGTCTCCAGAAGTGCTGCTACCTCATGAGCTGCCCCACACTCTTGGTCACTTAGAACATGCAAGTTACTGCTGTCATTTGGCTCTTCCCTAAAAGTAATTCGGCACACTTGACTGTCAATGACAGCACTGTCAATGCTGGAATGATTCTAACTTTCACACAGATGCTGCCATTCTTAAAAAGGCATAAACAGGTAAGACAAGCATAAGGCACATGCTTGTCATCCCTAAATCCAGAAGATCAGTTTGAGGTCCCCCTTGGCAGCATAGTGAGTCTGAGGTCAGCCTGGGCTACATGAGACCCTGCCTCATGAAAAAGGACAAAAATGGAAGGAAGAGGATATGGCTGATAAGAGGTGCCAGCAGAGCTCCAGGACTCCTTGACACTGTTCTACTTCTTGGCACAGATACTCATGTGTTGACCTTGTAAAAACTCACCAAGATGTTTTACAAACTTTTCTGGAGTGTAAGTTATACTTCAAGTAAAGTATTTCAAATATAGACTCTGTTTTGTTGTTTGTTTGTTTGTTTGAGACAGGGTCTGTAGGGGAGGTTAGACAGGAATCAGGACAAAACACACCTAGACACCAAGCTAATAACCTTGGGGGGCAGTCAGGGGAGGAGGCTGCCTCTGAATCAGGCAAAGGCAGACAGCAAGCAGCATCGACAAGTGTTTTGGCAGGAGTGGAAAAACAAGTAGTCTGTGTAAGGGTGAGTTCTTAAGTCCTGATTGGACAGGTTAGCCAAATAATGACCTTGGTGATTTGTCTCAGGATAAGTCAGTGGCCAAAAGAGGGAATAGACCTTGGGGGCTAGCTTTAGCAATGTAATCGAACAGCTTTTGGCAAATCAGAAAAAAAAGGGGGAAAGGACAAAACCTTTCTCCATGTTTGCAACTTTTGGACCTGTCAGAGCAGACTTCATTGTCTCTCTACAAAGCCCTGGCTGGCCTAGAACTCAGTATGTAAATCAGACTGGCCTCCCAACTCAGAGATCCACCTGCCTCAGCCTCCAAGTCCTGGGATTAAAGGCATCATAGTCAGTCTGTGGCCAATCTTGGCTATATGAGACCATGCCTCAGAAAAAAGGGCAAAAGTACACCACACCCTGCTAAAATACAGCCTTAGAACAAGTTACACAACAGAATTTTTTTGCTGTATATATTCTGTACATACTCTAACGCTTTTAAAGGCTATTAATAGACCACAGAATATTATAAAGTATTATGTATATATATAGTTTATATATTGACTTGAAGGTCCATTTACATTATTATAAACAATGCTCTCTGAACATTATCATCTCATTTTTATAAAATTCCTCAACTTTTTACTTTTCTTATATACACAAAGACATATCAAACTATTGAAGCTGACAAGAGTGGACAGAAGCAATTTTCTTCCTCAGATAGTCTTTACTATTTAGCCAGTGTTTGAAAGTACGTTTACTTTCTCATTTGAAACCAAACTTTAGGCAGAGACAGATGGAGCTCTTCAGGTATGAGGCCAGCCTGGGCTACAGATTAAGCTCCAGGCCCGCCAGGAGTACATACCAAGACATAATCTCAAATTGAAAACAACAGAAACACACAAAGCTGGTGGTAAACTCCCATAACCCCTGTTCCTGCAAGATGAAGCTTTGCTAGATCAGGGATTCAGGGTTATCTTCAGCTTAAAGTCAATCTGAGGTCAGCCTAGGCTACATAAGATCCCCCACGCACACATACATCGAATCTAGTGCTGAGGGGTGTAATATGCCCAAAACCCCAGGTTTAGTCCTTAATATCATCAGAAAGAAATCCAAAAGCCAACTCCTAGTATGCAAGAGCCTGCAGCAGAAGGAGAAACATACCCAGACTGGCTTTTCTCCCATAATCCTGTAGCCTTCTATCTGGACAAAGTTCTCTTCTCCTTCTCACAGTATGAAAGGCTTCACCGCACAAGGTGAGCCTCTACCTGCAGCTGCATTCCCGGTCTATATTCCCATACTCAGCAATAATCTCCTAACTCATTTCACCCTCACATTCTTCTACCAAAGGCATCCAAGGGGCACTGGACTCTCAGACTTCCTACTAGTTTCAGTTACTTCTTTGAAACTTTAGAATTTCATAAATCCAACTTCGAACAATTTAATAAGCTTTTTACTTTACACATTTGTATCCTTCTAACTGCCCCCTCTACATTCTCCAGACCAGAAATTTCAAACTTTTATCTGTGCTATCTGCTATAGTTTGACTCTGCCCTCCAATTTTTTGTGTGTTTTGTTTTGCTTGACTCCAGCCTTTCTGAGACAAGGTGTCATGTAGCCCAGGTTGGCCTCATTCT